TATTGGTGGCCGACATCTCCCATGACTTGAATGGAAACCCAAAATATTTGATGTTCTGCCCTCGCTGATTGGACGAGTTTTTTTTCTTTTGGCAAGACCTAGTCTCACAGTGCTCTGTGACTCCTCACATAACATCTTCTCCCTCTTTGTGAATGGCTATCCAACTACAAAAGCAGTTTCTCCTCCCTTGGTGTTCACACCTCAACTCCGAGCAGAGCACCTCACCCTCCCTGATTGAACTAACCTCGTTATCTCCATACTGATTTATACCTGCCTCTGGAAATTTCCATTACTTGTGTCTGATGAAGTGGGCATTCACCCACGAAAGCTTATGCTCCAATACTTCTGTTAGTCTTAAAGGTGCCACAGGACCCTCTGTTGCTCTCCACACCTAGTGCACAAACTCTGGGCTACTTCAGGGAGGGATGAGCTTTCTTCTCAGCAGAAAATTCAGCCAGTTAGGACCCTCCAGAAGAGGCCACGCAGTCTCCTCTTGTATTGTGGAATGGAGCATTCCATAGTCACACATTTAATTCCATGTAGAATTACTTAGCAAATCTTTCTGGTTTTTAGGGGAAACACATGGCTGGAGATTGGATGGCTCACAGGGGTCTGACATCTGAATAAGATAAAAACTTTTTTTTAACCTCTAGTCTGATGGTTTGAATCTCATTCAGGTCAGTAATGACTAAAAATCATTAGTAATAATAATTCTGTGACTTTGTATGACATCTTCAATTCAAGGATTTCAAAGCACTTTACAAAAATGGGTCAGTATTATCTCTGTTTTACAGATGAGGAAACTGAGGCACAAGGAAGTTAAATGGCTTGCCTAATTTCACACAGCAAGTCAGTGGCAGAGTTGAGAATAATAATCCAGCTCTTCTGATTCCCAGTCCTATTCTATAATCACCTGACAGTACTGCTCCCTTGTCCAACTGATGGGTGTCAGATGAGCTGTCTGAAACATGCCGGTGGATCTCAGTTCAGATCATCACAAAACCCCCACTACCCCAGTTGAACTTAATAGGACCCCTTTTGGAGCCTTCAAGATTAAGCTATATAAATACAAGATATTATATTATTTATTAACACATATTGCCAGAAACTTTATATAACTGGCTATTTTCAAAGGCCTGTACTTTCTACAAGTGACAGCAGGTGGCGATGTCCCCCTTGCTGGGACAGGAGAGTCATACAATCAGACCTGTTTCAGAGTAGCAGCTGTGTTAAGTCTGTAGCCGCAAAAAGAAGGTGATCTGGATAAAAAAAGTTTTCACGACCAGGCTGCTACTACTAACCTGGCTGCATTCCTTAGTGGCTAAGCAGAATATTAACCAGTTAACCTCTGCAACACTGTATATGTGGCTTTGAATAAGTGTGCTGGGATCTAGACAAGGTGTTAGGAGCCCTAGTGTACAACCTGGGTGCACTTGGAACAGCTGGTTGCACTGAAGATGGGAGAGGTGGTGAGAGCCACAGAGAACTGTTCACTGTGCGTACAGATCTTGGTGACCAACACAGACCTGGGATGAGAGTGAACAGCAAAGATGACATGTGTTTGCAGTAGAATATGGTATCAAAAATAGACAAAGCTGTTTTGGGTTGCATGTGCAAAAGCACCGCAGCTTACAGCAAGAAAATGCTAGTTCCTCGCTGCATGGCATCAGGAATAAAAAAAAATTATTAAAGCTAATGTTAAAATTATCTAATACATGGGTTAAAGAAAGAGTTTATATACATCTGGGTATAATGCTTAAATTATCCAAAAGTACAAAGTTTGGTTTAAAAAGTCATAAAATACAGATGGTACATAATCTGCAATATCCCAAATTAAGGCTGATAAATTTAATAATACAGTTTAAATATTAGCATCCAAATATTCAGGTACATCACTCATGAAAAGTTATACTAAAAGTAGCTTGTGGAAAGCAAATATAGTAATGAGTGTAGATTGTCGCTCAGTAATTGAGAATATAGGATAGGTTGTCCCTCAGTAAATACAATCCACCAGAGAAGTACTTCAGTTACTTTCCTGACTTCACTTCTCAATGGCACTTTAGCTCATTTCTCCTGGAACATTGCATTCAGGTCTTGACCCCTTGGGACCAGTAAGACATTGTCAGACTGTAGGGAGTTCAGAGAAGGGCAATAAAAATGATCAGGCATCTGGAGGAAGGGATTGACTTAGGAGGATAGATCCAAAGAACTAAATATTTATCATTTGATCAAACAATGTCTTGTGGGGTTGGGACTTGAGAATCATATATAAATATTTGAAGGCTAAAGAACAAGGAGACAGAAGAATTATTTAGGGTTGTTCCAATGGGGTCTAAGTAGGAAGAACGGGATGAACCTGAATAAAGGAAAATTTAGCCTGAAAATCAGAACAAAGGGCTCCATTAGATGCTCAGATACCACAATAATGAGCACAGTATAAATACCTAGAGAGACACCAGACTGCAGAATAGTCTCCCTAGGGAAGTTTTATCTTTGTTTCTCTGCTTCTGCTAGAATTACTTGGATGAGCGCAAGTTGAGACTCTGGGATTTCTTTAGAAACATGGACAAAAACGGAAGTATGAAGATCCCTGTGGCAGAATTCCGGAAAGCCATGATGCAGGTGTGCTTCAGAAACAGTGTCCTCTAATTTTCTCAGGGAAGGGTATTGTTATGAGGAAGCTCACACTGCAGAAGCCCCCAGATGGTGCTGGTTTAGTCCTGCTGAGAGGAAGCTCACACCACTAGGCTAACTCCACATGTGCCATGAGAAACACCCCTGAATGAGGCCCAAAGGAAATGCCACGAGACCTAATATCTGATGTGGATGGCAAAATAGCCATGGATCCATTCTGGACAGGGCCGGCTCCAGGCACCAGCTTACCAAGCAGGTGCTTGGGGCGGCCACTTCGGAGAGGGGTGGCATGTCCAGCTGTTCGGCGGCAATTCGGCGGACGGTCCCTCACTCCTGCTCAGAGCGAAGGACCTCCTGCCGAATTGCCGCCGCAGATCGCGATCGCAGCTTTTTGTTTGTTTGTTTGGCTGCTTGGGGCAGCCAAAACCCTGGAGCTGGCCCTGATTCTGGAATAACATTAACCATGTAAAATCCCAGTATTCCAACTCCCACCTATCCTGGTTCCTCCAGGGTACTTAAAAGAAACATAGATGATGAAAGGAGACTAATTGTGTGGAATATGTCTATTGGATTTTATGGAGGATCTCTGCTCAGTTCTATGGGAAAAAGCCAAGCCACTCCAGTCCCTGCCAACACATCTTGAGGAAAAATTCCCTCCTTGGCTCTAACTATGGTGCCTGTGAGAAAGCGTCCACTAGGGTGACCAGACAGCAAATGTAAAAAATCGGGACAGGGTGGGGGGTAATAAGAGCCTATATAAGAAAAAGATCCAAAATCGGGACTGTCCCTATAAAATCGGGACATCTGGTCACCCTAGCGTCCACAGTTCAATGTTTAATCCTATTTACACCTGACAAACAAGGGGTGCAAAAAACAACTGCATTTTTTCTTGAATCCTCGGTAAGTGGATTCTGCCACCTGGTGAAATTCTTCCCTCCCTTTCTAATTGCTCCAGGCTATTCACCTAGTTATTAAATAGTGAACGCTTCCCATGCTGGTAAAAAGAGTTCTGTGTGCAAAGAAGCCAGGCTTTTCTGGCACCACTTGTATTTCAGCCACTGGGAGCCACAAAAGGGGAGATAATCACAAGTCTCCTTTCTCCCTTCTCCAACCAGCAATCAAGAATTCCACTAGATCGAGCCCAGATTGGAGAACTGGTGCACAAATTGGACCGACACCGGACAGGAATGGTGGATTACAGGTGAGTGAAGCATCTCCTGCACTTGCTTTCTCTCTCATTTTCTTCTTTTCTTTATTTGTCTCAGTTCTGATTGACACTGAATGAACCTATACTAGTTCGCTCTGGAGGGGAGGACACAGCTGGGGCACATGGCGTTGGTCATTCAGGGATCCATCTCACATGATACAGACTGCATTTTTGAGTAGCCTAGAGGTGAGATTACTAGCTATATGCATAGCAACCCTTTTGATCTAGGCCAGAAGTTCTATATTTTTCTGCACTCTTCTCATACCACAAAATCCCTCATGTTTCCCAAACCTGCTGTGAAATGGCATGAATCTCACAGCGGAATGGCATTTTCACTGCTGCACATGTTGTTGTGTGACAGTTATGGACTCTCCAGGTATCTTCTCAGCATCACCCTCCCCTCTGAAACCCAGGAGAAGATTCCAGAAAGGCAGCAAATCTCTGCTTTCAGACCCTCTATTCCATCCTGAGACCTCCATTTCTTTGCTTCCTTCTATGATCCTTCTTCTTAGGGGTCCCGGTCTTCCGCACAAACCTACTTTCAAACCTCAGTGCCTTCCATAATTTTGAATAAATATCAGCCTATAGCAGTAGTGTGGAAGTTCTGAGAGTCTAAGTGGTCAGACACTCCAAGGCTGTTAGGAGCTGCAGGCCAAGCCACTTGTCCTGGGAATGGAAATTGCCCCTAGATTTGTAGTCTCAGATGCGACTGATGATCTCAAAGCTCTGATAATTTTGCCTCAATATCCTTACCCTTCAAATACCACCATGGATTTTAAATATTTCATATTATAGCCTACATTTAAGATCTGAAGCACAGGGGCCAGTTTTGCAAATGTTAATCTATTTCTATCCAGCTGGGTCTATTTCATGTGCCATAGTGTTTCTGTCACACATGTAGCCAAGAGATGGGACAGGTCTAACTTTGATGTCCAGGTTGCTCCCACCTCAGACAATTTTTTCATGGCCTTCTCAGTGTCTTTCAGGCATCTAGGAGGAGGGAGGAGGTTCATTAAACTGGTTTTAAATCCTGATTTCTCTTCTTTCACCTTTTAAATCAGTTATTTAAAAGAGAAGCAGCCAGCACAGAAGCCTAAAGAAGAGGAGGAGGAGGAACCTTAGGAGAGAAGCCAGGAGGCAGGTCAGCTGGTGAAAGGTGGAAGGATAAGTGCTGGAAAGAAGCTAAAACAAAGTGACCCATGGCTTGGAAAAATAGAGGAATGTGGGACTTCTGGTAGTCAAGGCTAGTGAATCTAGAAAATAAAGTTTACATTCCCCTACATGTCTGGGACAGGTTTGTGAAGGTTGTAGTATAGTCCCGTTGACCAAGGAGAGAGAAGATAGCTCCATGAGAGGCCAAGTACTAGCACATCTTGCTCCACAATCTGGGAGTGCTGCACTTATTTGCAGAGAGAGAGAAGGAGGAGGGCTGTAATGGGGGAGTCCTGTGGAGTTATATGCTACTATTGCCCCCTTTCTGGAGCAGTGTGGTCGAGGTCTAAATGAAGTCCTGTGCAAACACCACCAGACAGATCTTAGCAGCCTTGATATAGGGACCTTGAAGGCAGGAGGAGAATTAAAGAGGGGAGCAGCCACACTTAATGCTGCCAAAAGGATTAAGAGAAATAAGGGTTTAAACAAATATATCCAGGGGGAGAGAAATACTAGAAAGGCAGGAGTGGGATGAAATCCATGACAGACCTAAAATTGCTGGGATACTGAATTGCTTTTTAAAATCTTTAACAAGAAAAATAAAGAGGTCTGACAATTACTAATAAGTAATGGAGAACTTTAAAATATGATAAACAGGTAATACCTTGGAAAATATGAACAGGTACAAATTAGCAGATCCAGATGAAATGTACTTTAGGATGTTTGGAGAATTGCTAAAAATTGACTGTGCTGCTAACAAACTGTGCTGTACTAGAGGATTGGAAAAAAGCTATGGGGGAATCAATTGTCAAAAAAAGAAAGAAGGATGATCCTGGCAATTACTATCTGGTAAGTCTTAACTTCTACCCCCACCAAAATTCCCATCCAAAAACTCCATTGACTTACAGTTAAGGTTACTCAAGTGTATTTCCTCACAACAATGCAAACTCTTACAAGCAATGAAGCCGGAAACTAAGGCAACAGTCTCACTCAACACAAGACCGATCTCCAAGCATTAGATCACTATCATCATAATTCTATTACTTTTCCAGAATTTACCTCTGTGTTCTCAATCTCTCTCTCCTCCAATACATTTTGTCCTTTCTATTACTGGTATCTTTATCCCGAGCAGATGCCTTTGTCTGACCTGAGAGCTTCTCTGCTGCCATCAACTCTCCCCCAGATCCTAGTTTAAATAATCCCCTCAAATCTTGTTATGTGGAGGCAATGGGTTGAATGCTAGGAAGATGAAATATAAGGACACTATCAGATCCCTTGCATCTGAAGAAGTGAGGTTCTTACCCACGAAAGCTTATGCTCCCAATACTTCTGTTAGTCTCAAAGGTGCCACAGGACCCTCTGTTGCTTTTTACAGATTCAGACTAACACGGCTACCCCTCTGATATAAGGACACTGGAATTGAAGCTAGGGATTTCTGTGTGTGCACACTTAGTGGGCTGAATAGTGGAGGGATGATGAGGGGAGAGGAAATTAATGTTTAATTAAAAAGAAAGTAAGAATGGCCATACTGGATTAGACCAATGGTCCGTCAGCCCAGTATCCTGCCTTCCCACAGCAGCCAATGCCGGGTGCTTCAGAGGGAATGAACAAAACAGGGCAATTATCGAGTAATCCATCTCCTCTTGTCCACTCCCACCTTCTGGCAGTCAGAGGCAAGGGACACCCAGAGCATTGCATCCCTGACCATCTTGGCTAATACCCATTGGTGGACGTATCCTCCATGAATTTATCTAATTCTTTTTAAAACCCAGTTAGTTTTGGCCTTCACAACATCCCCTGACAATGAGTACTACAAGTTGACTGTGCGTTGTGTGAAGAAGTACTTCCTTTTGTTTGTTTTTAGCCTGCTGCCTATTAATTTTGTCGGGTGACTGCTGGTTCTTGTGTTACAACAAGCTTGTAGCTAATGAACTGAAGGCCCCATCTCACCAGATGTCTCTGCTTATATTTGGTATCCCTTTCTCCCTTCCTTTGTTTGTCTTTGATTTGCAAGATCATATGCTCTTCAGGACAGGGACTGAGACTTCCTCTGTATTTGGAAAGCACCAGCCACATGGTGGATGCTACTACAAACTAAATAATTAATAATATTAGAGAGACACTTGAGGGAAATCAGAAATAAGCATGATTAGGGGCTGGAGGAGTTGATTTATGAAGAAAGATTAAAAGTTAAATAGGTAGTTTGGCTAATATATGTCTAAGGTAGACATGATGACAGTCTACAAGTAATTGTGGGGTGCAAACGCTGAGAGAGAAGAATTATGCAGGGTGCTCCAAGGGGGTATAACTTAGAGTTGTGGGATAAAGGTAAAGAAACACCATTATGTTGTTAGAGGTGAATATTTATAGCCACTATCCAGGGAGGTCACTATTATATAGTGGGCACATAACAAGGAACTAAGAGTTTGGTAAACAGAAAATAAAGACACTCTTGCATTCACCCCAACCATGGTGTCCTGGGCTTCTGTAATTTCTACAACCACCACCATGCCGCCTACTAAACTTTTTAAAGAGAGTTAGATGTAGTGCTTGAAACTACATCAGCCCCTGACAGCCCTTGCTACTGTTTGTAGTTTTACAACATTTTTTCTATTTCCTCTGTTGCTATGTGAAAGATCCACTCAAATGACAAGGCAAACTGACTAACTAAGGATCCAATCCTTCAAGCAGTTACTGCCAGGCCTAGTGCAAGATAGCATGAGTAGAACCACTGAAATCAGCGGACCTGACCCTCTGTTGCCCTACACTTTTATTCATCATCATCATAATCATAGTGCCAGGAAGTCCCAGTCATGAACCAGGACCCCACTGTGTTAGGTGCTGTACAAACACAGAACAAAAAGACAGTCCCTAACCCAAAGAGTTTACAATATATGAAGTAATTTACACCAATACAAACTGAATGCAAAGTTGGGGAGGTGTTGGAATGAGAGCATGGTGATTTACTAGTATGATACACCCACTTCACATTCAGTTTGCACAGGTGTAAATTATTACATAGATACAGGGCAGCAGAGAACCAGACCCTATGGTACTACTCAGCAGTAATCACTAGGCCTGGCAGTAAATGCCTGCAGGCTCAGGCCCTGATTGACTATACAGGGAATCAGTGAAATTGACTGTACCCATAGTGCAGTCAAATGCACAAAATACACAATCTGAAATCACAGAGAAAGTATTTATTTTACTCTTTCATTTCTAGGAATTTTACAGGTCACTTATAAATAAAACTAGTTTAAACCAGAGATCAGCACCATCCTGTTGCGCGACGGACACTTGACAAAATTACCGGACTTAGTGACGGACATTGGCGTGGGGTTATGTCATTCAGTCATTCAAACCGTAAAATAACGGACATAATTTTCCACACTGAAAAAAAACAGTAACCTAGCTAGCTAGCTAATAATAATAATAATAATTAATAATAAATTCATTGAGATTTTTAGCTGAAAGGTGCTGTACAAGTGCAAAGTATTATTATTTAAAATAAGCAATTACTCTTCTCTAGCCTGTGACTTCAAGATCTGTTTCAAGGCATCAAGAGCCTGGATGTGTACAATGTATAATTCGTTACATAAATTATTTTATTACTGGATTAATTGCCTAGTTACTTGGCTTTCTTCCTGCAATGACACAATAGTGATGAATTGTTTGTTAGAAATACATAGACTTCGTGGCAGAGGAAGGGGACAGCTAGAAAAATACAATTGCTAGCTTTTAAGATTTAATATTCTGTGTTCAAAAGATGTTAGCAGTTTATCTAAAATTGCCAATATCAAAAGACTCTGAGTTCAAAGGAAGCTACCCTGTTTAGTACAGTGCAGTCTTCTGAAAGCTTACCTAGAACAGGGTTCTGATTGCAGATGAAGTGGTGAGCTGTATTAGAAAAGAAAAAAGGCTTAATGGAGACGTGGTGTGTGGCACCCTAGCCATACAATAGTACAAATAATAAATAATAATAATCCTGGAAAACAGCCTGCTAATGATTTTACTCATGTTGAATTAAATGGAACTACAGAAATGAGTAAAATTACTCATCAGTAAATGTTGGCAAGATTGGGCCCAAAGTTTTTCTAGTGAAAATCTGCATTCCTGAGTTTTTGGGTGGGAACCATGAAACCAATGAAAGTTAACATGACTGGTGAAACTTTGGAGCCCAGCATCAGAAATTGCAAACCAATTTCCACTTGGTTTTTAAGGCTGGACAAGGAAAAGAATTTCACTGTTGAATGTTAACCGTTAACCAAAATAAAATTTAATGTGTATAGTCTAAAGTTGCCCTTGAGTTACTGAATCATTATTTACAACTGAGCAGAAATTGGTTTCCATTGAGTTCACTTAGGACCTGATCCAAAGTCCACTAAAATCAGTGGGTAACCTTCCATAAATTTCAAGGGGCTTTGGGTCAGGCTCTAAGTGCTGAAGATAATTCTTAGTGCTATAGCACCTGCCAGCAGCAAACTTAGACATACCAGACTCTTTACAGGCGATGTGCTTCCGTTTCCTTATTTTAACAATGCAATGACATTCTAACTTATTTTCTGGTTTAAAAATCAATTAAAACATTTTTTTAAATGCATATTTAGCATTAATCCCATCCAAACCCCACTATCCAACTGAGATTCCTGAAGAAATGTGTGACTAAATCTGCACAATCCTCATGCTAAACTCACCTCGGCCAGTTCCCCGTTCCTGCTGTTGCTGGTGGAGGTGCGGCCAGGCAGCTCTGCAGGCATGTTGCCGCCGTCTGCAGGTGCCGCCTCCCCCACCCAGCTCCAGTGGCCACGGTTCCCGGCCAATTGGCTGGGAGCCGCAGAGTTAGTGCTCGGGGAGGGGGGACGGAGGCAGCGTGCAGAGCCACCTGGCTACACCTCCGCCAGCAACAGCAGGTACAGGGAGCCGCTTGTGGGGAGCCGCCCGAGGTGAGCGCCCCCCACGGACCTCAAAGTTTTTACCATGGACACTTGTGTCCATGTACGGACACGTTGCTGACCCCTGGTTAAAACTGTTTCAGAAGAAGGTGTGGTTTTTATTTCTATTTTTTAAAATGATGATGTTTCTTCTAAAAAGGAAACTATATGGTGATTTGCAGGAAATATTTCCTAAGGGTGAGATTTCAGATTATGGCGTAGTCTCCTTGCCAAGAGAAGGCCCAGGACCATCACTTGGGTTATTTAGAACTAGGTCTGAATTAAGCTCTAGAATAGAATAGTCTTCAGGGAAGAATCTGGCTCTGCCCGCACTAGGATAGACTAGATGGGACATGATAGATCATTTACATATCTAACTTTTCTGAGCAAAGATGATCCTCAGGACTACGATGGGGCAATATTTGTGGGCCAACTGAACTACAGGAAGTGGGAAGGGAGATTACCACAATCTCTGCTAGTTTCTTGCATTTGTGGCCCTCCCCTGCCCACCGGGGGGATGGAGTCTTTAGGACAGTTTTACGAGCTTTCATTTTCTTATGGCTTCTCTGCATTAAATTAAATTTTGAGCTCCACATTACAAGTTTATCCAATGTACGAAAACTTCCACAGAAAATTGTCTGGGTACAAAATGTGTCTAGTAGGAGCAGGTTGAAATCACCGCCCATGCTCTGATATCATTACACTGCTTATCCAAAGCGACTTTCACTTATAGTTAGCTACCTGCTACAGAGACTATCCATACTAGAGCTGTGTGGATAACTAATTGATTTGTCAGTCTGGTGAGTAAACCAGAAAAAAAAATCATTTTGTAGTGACCCAAAACATTTTTTTGCAAACAAAATAATTTTAGAAGTTCAGTTTGACCCCCAAATAAAAGGTTTTATTTTCAAGCTTTTTTTAACTTTTAACAATTTTTTAATAAAATTCTAAACAAAACATTGTTTCAAATCAAAAAGTAAAAACATTTTTGGACTTTTGGGGGATTCCTTTTTAACTGAAACAAGTCAGCCAGTTCAATACAAATTCACAAAATGTTTTGGTCAATCAGAGTCAGCCTTTGGTGAAAAAAAGTTTCATCTGAAAAATGTCACCCAGCTCCAGTCCAGACAGAATCCCACAGCTCTTGCCTGTGCTTCCACACTGCACTGCACAGAGAGCATAGGCTGCAGTACACTGACCCTCTCAGATGTCTGGGGGCAGTAGCCTCTGCAAGATCTTGACAGTGTATGATTCAAAGGAAGCCAAAGCATGAGAACACGAATCCAAGATAGTGTTTTGGGCTCATCAGTATCTAGAGCAGGGGTAGGCAACCTCTGGCACATGTGCAGAAGGCGGCACACAAGCTGATTTTCAGTGGCATTCACACTGCCCGGGTCCTGGCCAGCGGTCCGGGGGGCTCTGCATTTTAATTTAATTTTAAATGAAGCTTCTTAAACATTTTTAAAACCTTATTTACTTTACATACAACAATAGTTTAGTTATATATTATAAAATTATTGAAAGAGACCGTCTAAAAATGTTAAAATGTATTACTGGCACGCGAAACCTTAAATTAGAGTGAATAAATGAAGACTCAGCACACCACTTCTGAAAGGTTGCCGACCCCTGATCTAGAGCCTACTGCCTTTGCCAGAAAAGAGAATGGACCCAGACAATAGGGAGCAGTAAGTTGCCCTTAACTGTAGGGCTCTGCATCCTGAGGGAACAGGTGGATGTCTGCAACCACAGTAACCTTCTGTTTACTTTCCATTTTCTCTGTCCCCCCTCTTCACTATCTCTTGCTGCATAGGAGCCTGGTGGACACACAGAAGCAGATGGTACAAGACCAGCGGTGGCAGCTAAAGAGGGAAGAGTCACGGCAGAAGAAGGAGAAGCACAAGAGTGAGAGAGTGCTGCAGACTTTCAAGAGTGCCGTGGAAATAGTCACATCACGCAGTTCCCTGGTGATGTGTTCTGGCCAGAAGCCACTGGCACTGCCCAAGTCTGACCCTGCCCACTTCTCAACCACTTCTCTCAGCTCATGGTGCCAACCAGCCATCACCGGGGAATCCACAAGCAGCCAGAACTCTGCTGAGCCAGCATTCACTGAGCAAAAGGGCCCCTCCAACCATCAGCTGTCCCAGAGTGAACCACATTCAGCTTCACGGGGCATGTCAACCTCTGACCTGGAAGTGAAATTTTACTCCCACCCCAACATCAGCATCTCAGAAGCCCAAACCCACTCCCAGTACAGCATAGCAACCTCCGACCTGGAAACATACTCCAAGGCCCAGTCTAGTGACAATGCCATTTCTTACAGGGTGATGCCACGGGAGACCAGAAGTTCTGCTCACGAGTCCCACTACTTGGCCAGGAACTGCCATGCTGCCTCATCACCACAGAAGCATGGGCACAGTGCTAAGTCATCCAAATGACAAAGCTGAGGTGATGGGAAATGACCAGCCCAACAAGGGATCAGGGAAGTGGTGATGGGGGTTTCAGAGGGTGATAGTACATAGGGATGTGAATGGTTTATTTCCTGGTAACAAACCCATCCCCTTTCTTCTATCCCCTTTTCACTGCAGTTCATCTGTGCTATGCTACAGAAATGCCCTACCTAGCCAAATGCAAGCTACTAAAATTCACACCTCTCATATACACTCAGGTGAGGGGAAATAATACCCAGCACCATAAGGGACAGTGGGACTCCACATTCTAGCTCACAGTCACCTGGAAGCTGAAGTGATGACAAAACAAAGGTGAACCTGGTGTTCAGGCAGTCAGATACCACCACAGTGATGAACACAGTGTAAGTGGTTTGATGAACAAGTTAGATGGAATAGGTAAGCATGCTTCACTATCTCAAGTGCTGGGTGAGCTGTTGGTACCCTGGGTTTGCTCCCCTAGTTAGGGTGTTGTACCTCACAGTGCCTTGGGTTACAGTGCTCCCTGGGTTAGAGTGCTGGATGGGTAGGAGTGTCCTGGGTGTGCTCCCCTTGAATGCTAGGTGATTTCGGGTACCTCAAGTGGATGTGATTGTTGGTTGGGATGTGAGTGCCCTGCATGTGCTCATTTAGTGGGAATGAGGATGTGCTCTCCTTGCTCCCCGATTAAGGAGAGGGATTCTTCACTCCTACTAGATGATCAATGAGTAATGGGATGCAGTCAAGAACAAGAAAATTTAAGTTACATATGAGTACAAACTTCCTAACCGTGAAATGTATTAGTGGTTCTCAACCTTGGGACTGAGACCCAGGCTGGGGCCCAAAGATGCGTTCATTGTGAGGGGAGTCACAAAACTGCAAAATTTAAACTGGCATTAGAAAACTGGTCTGTAGCCCTTGCGGTTGCAAAGAACATCAGAACGGCCATACTGGGTCAGACCAATGGTTCATCTAGCCCGGGATCATGTCTTCTGGCAGTGGCTTGTACCAGATGCTTCAGAGGGAATAAACAGAACAGGGCAATTATTGAATGATCCATCCCCTGTTGTCCAGTCCCAGCTTCTGGCAGTTAGAGGCTTGTTGTTGTTGTTCATCCTTAGAATTCGAAGATGACCATGACATAACTGGTTGGTTTGGTTTCTGTGAACACATGAGTGGCTGATCAGGCCAATTTGAGCTTTGAACTGCCTGTGGCAAATTAAACAATAGATGCTGCTATGGGTTGCTTGATTAAGAGCAGACATGCTGCTGTTGTGAGATTTATGCTGCTGGTGCTTCTGCTCTGCCTCAGCAGTTCTCCTCTGCTCATAGACTGTAGCTCCAGTATGGATGAGGCTTTGCCAGGTAGCACCATCATGAGCGAGATCTTCCCAAAACTCTGGATCAGTGTTGAACCGCCCCAAGGATAACTTGAGGGAGTCCTTGAAACATTTCTTTTGGCCTCCCTGAGAGCACTTTCCCTCCTTTAGCTCACCATAAAAGATCTTCTTTGGCAGTTGCTCATCTGACATTCTGGTGACATGGCCTGCCCATCTCATCTGTGATTTCATCAACAGAGTATGGATGCTTGGAATGTCTGCCCATATGAGAACCTCAGTATCTGGGACCTTGTCTTGCCATCTTATCCTCATCAGTTTCCTCAGACAGCCCACGTGAAAGTGATTCAGCTTCATAGCATCGTGGCTGTACACCATACAGGTTTCTCATGCATACATCAAAGTTGGCAATACAATGTCTTTGTAGACCTTCAGATTTGTTTGTTGACTAATGCCTCTATGCTCTCACACATGTGTACGTAGTCTGCCAAAGGCCACACTTGCTTTGGCAATTTTGGCATTGGTTTCATCATCGATGTGAACTGCACATGAGAGTGTACTGCTGAGGCAGATGAACTTGTCCACTGCCTGGAGGGTTTGGCCATTCACTGTGATAGCAGACTGTACATAAGGCTTTCCTGGTGCAGGCTGGTACATCACTTCTGTCTTGATGTTGATTATGAGACCAAAGTTGTCACAAGCTGAAGAGAAATGGTCCATACTCTGCTGCATGTCAGACTCAGATTTGGCATTCAGGGAACAGTCATCAGCAAACAGAAGATCACAAAGAGTGACTTCCTGTACCTTCGTCTTCACCTGTAGTCTCCTCAAATTGAAGAGCTTGCCTTCAGTCTGGTATCTGATGCCAATTCTAGTGTCACAGTCACAAAAAGCATCCATAAGCATGGCAGAGAACATCATATTGAAGAGAGTTGGGGCCAACACACAGCCCCGCTTGACTCCATTGGTGACTGGGAATGGTTCAGATGAGTCACCGTCATCCACAATGTGAGCGAGAATGCCACCATGGAATTGCCGAACCATTGTGATGAATTTCTCTGGCAACCGAATTTTACCATGATCTTCCAAAGGCCCTCCTGACTGACTGTATCAAATGCTTTTGTCAGGTCAATGAAAGTCATGTACAGGTTGGAGTTCTGTTCCTGGCATTTCTCCTGAAGATGACAAGCTGCAAACCCCATTTCTATAATCCCGAGTCCTTTTCTGAAGCCACGCTGACTCTCAGGCAGGAGCCTTTGTTCAATGTGTTGCATAAGGTGAGTCAGCAGAATTCTGTCAAGAATTTTGCTGGCTACTGACAACAGGGAGATGCCCCAATAGTTGTTGTAGGATTGTCTGTTGCCTTTCCACTTGTACAAGTGGACAATGGATGCATCCTTGTACTCCTGGGATATAGTTCCTTGAGTCCACATTGATTGGAAAAATTCAATCAGTTTCAGAGCCATGTGTGAGCCTCTGGCCTTGTAGACTTCAGCTGGTATAACATTTGCTCCAGGTGCTTTGCCATTTGACAGCAGGTCAATCACTTTCACAGTTTCAATCAGCATTGGGGGATCAGCAAGAGATGTGTTGATATCGATCTTTGGCAGTCGATCATTTGCCTTCTCACTAATAGATGACTGTTGATTGAGGATGTGGTTAAAGTGTTCTGCCCACCTTTGCAGTATCTTTTCTTTATCAGTGAGCAGTGTGGTGCCATCAGCACTCAGTATTGGAGATGTTCCTGATGACCGTGGCCCGTAGATTGTCCTCAGAGCATCATAGAAGTTCTTCATGTCATTCCTGTCTGGGTAGGACTGAATTTCATCTGCCTTGTTGCTTAGCCATGAGTTTTCCATTTTTCTAAGTTTGCATTGGACAGGCCTTTTGATGTTGTTGAAGGCTGGCTTCTTAGATGTTGAAGTGCTGTCTTCTACACAGGCTTTATGGAACTGATGTTTCTCTTTCAATAGTTCCCCTATGTCAGTATCGTTTTCATCAAATTAATCTTGATGTTTACGTGTGATGGAACAGAGAGTATTGGATGAAGCTGAGTATACAGAGTCTCTAAAAGATGCCCAATTTTCCTTAACGTTATTAGAGTTTGCATCAGTTGTTACAAGTTGGTTGTGCAGTTCTTCAGGAAAAGCTTGTTTCACATTCTCCTGTTTCAGTTTGCAGTAGTCCTTTCTCCCTCCCAGCCCCCCCTCCCCCGTGTGTGTACATATGTATTTATATATACACATAAACACATAATGGGCCCAATTGTCCTCTTACTTAAACCTGTTTTACTCCTCTGTAAATGCACTGAATTTAATGGAGTTTCTCCTGATTTACATCAGTGTAGATGAGAGGAGAATCAGGCCCAATGTACATAAAATGTGGGTACGCAACAAATAAAAGCATAGAAGGACTAGATGTGATTTCCGTGTTCAAAATGCACCAGTCTGAGTACTCTCTTAACACATGTACAAATGAGTCTATTTTTCCTTTTACCCAATGAAATTTCAACCATTAGTATTAGAATTTACAAAGAAGGAAAGTTAAACAAGTTGGGCCTCAGAGCTCCCTGGCTTCCAAAGACTTAAGTGAGTGTCCTGGGGCTGCAGCATTTGCAGGATCAAGACCTTTTTAGAAAAATTTCACTAGAGGCCTAATAAGAGCACCCAGAATAGTAGGCACAAATGAGACCAGTGAAGAAGGAGAATCGTGATGACGGAACAAGACAAATGAGGCACTGGCTTGATTGCAGTACATGATGCTTACATGAAATATCGGGAAAAATGATTATCATGATTTTATTACTGAATCTGTTATGAGATTTGGCTTGTATGGTCATTATGTTTTGATAAATAACAAGTAGTATCTGAATGTTATTTTTATTTTCTTGCAAGTGCAAAACATTTTAACAGATTTACAAAAATTAAAAAACAAACAATTTGAAAATAAAGACCTAATGTTTTCCATACAAATTAATACCTAAATCCTGCTTTCTGCAAGGAGTCTATGTTGTATAGGACCAGAGTGAGAGGCTTTGAGCAATGAGGTAGTTAAAGGGGAAGCATTTACAATTGGCATGTATGTGCCTAAAGTGAAGCTTATTGATTTGTAGAGAAAATCCCTGACTTCAGTCTATGTCTGTCTATCCTTCTTTAGGGATTGTCTACATATAAAAGTTGTGTTGTTTTAACTATAGCTGTATAGTTAAAGCAGTAGAACACCCCTACCCCATCCCCTGGAAAGGGAAATAAGCTCTATGGGTATGAGGCACCTTTATATCTTCATACCAGTATAACTATATCCACATCAGGGATGTCCTGGCATAGCTATTTTGATAAAAAATAATCCCATCCCTGTCTGAAACAGTTAGACCAGTTCAAAATCTGTCCGTCAATCAGGCCTGAAACTGTGAGCGTTCTGGGGCAGGAATCATCTATTCTTGTATGGATGGAAAGCAAGTAGGACATCATGGGTGCTACATTAAACTAATAATAATAATAGCCAGAATGGAAGACCTAAACTTCAGCCCCCTGCCTCCTGATGCCTTGAGACACACAGACTTGTTACTGGAACTGAGCAATCCTGTTTTGCAGGAATTTTTACGACATACAGAGGGACAGTTTCCTGTCTTGGCCACTAGGTGTCACGTCTGTATCAAAAGTCTGAAGACACCGTGGGCTGTTTCATGCCTGGCCACCCATTGGCATCACACAGGTCCTAGTTTTGACTCATTCCACAAATGTAGAATCTTAGAAATGTAGGGCTAGAAGGGACCACAAGAGGTCATCTAGTCCAGGCCCCTCTGCTAAGAAGGACCAAGTATATCTAGACTATCTCTGATAGGTGTTTGTCTAACCTTACTTAAAAACCTCCAATGATGGGGATTCCGCAGCCTCCCTTGGAAGCCTGTTCCAGTGCTTAACTATTCTTATAGTTAGAAAGCTTTTCATATCTAACTTAAATCTCCCTTGCTACAGATTAAGCCCATCACTTCTTGTTTGACCTTCGGTGGACATGGAGAACAATTCATCACCATCCTCTTTATAATAGCTCTTATCATATTTGAAGACAGTTATCAGGACCCCACTTAATCTTCTTTTCTCAAGATTAAACATGCCCAGTTTTTTTTAAACCTTTCCTCATATATCAGGTTTTCTAAACCTTTACCATTTTTGTTGCTCTTTTATGAACCTTCTCCAATTTGTTCACACCTTTCCTAAAGTGTGGAGCCCAGACTTGGACCCAGTAGTCCAGCTAAGGCCTTACCAGTGCCAAGTAGAGCAGGATAATTACCTTCCGTGTCTAACATATGAAACTCTTGTTAACACACCTTAGAATTAGGTTAGACTTTTTTATAACTGCCTTATATTGTTGCCTCTTATTCAATTTGTGATTCACTATAACCCCCAGATCCTTTTCTGCAGTACTACTGCCTCACCAGTTATTTCCCCATTTTGTAGTTGTGCATTTGATTTGTAGTATTTTCTGCTTGTCTTTATTGAATTTCATATAGTTGATTTTAGACCAATTCTCCAATTTGTCAAGGTTGTTTTGAATTCCAATCCTGTCCTCCAAAGTGTTTGCAATCCCACCCATCTTGGTGTCATCCACAGATTTTTATCAGCATACTCTCCAAAGCGTTATTCAGGACATTAATGAAAATATTGAATAGTACTAGACCCAGGACAGACCTGTGAGACCTCCCTAGATTCAGCCTTCCAGCTTGACAGTGAACCATTGATACCTACTCTTTGAGTACAGTCTTTCAACCGGTTGTGCACCCACCTTACCGGTAATCTTAGTTAACTGCTGATGTAGAATCTGTAGGCGGAGTGCCTCCTTGTTTATGGGGGGCCTACAGATATGATGGATGGATATATAGATTAAAATTGGTGATGCAATGGGTTCAGAAAAAAATTAATTCAGACCACATTTCCCTAGTTTGCTTATGAGAATATCATGTGAGACTGTGTCAAAAGCAAAGTTTGTCTTGTAAAACAAAGTTTTGTCTGTGTCAAAATCCTTACCAAAATCCAGATATATCATGTCTACAGCTTTCCCTCTATCCACTAGACCAGTAACCCTGTCAAAGAAGGAAATTAGGTTGGTTGGCATGATTTGTTCATGACAAATCCATGCTGGGTGTTCCTTATAATCCTATTATCCTTGAGGTGCTTACAAACTGATTGTTTAATCATTTGTTCCAGTGTCTTTCCAGAAACTGAAATTAGGCTGACTGGTCTATAATTCCCTGGGTCCTCTTTGTTCCCCCTTTTAAAGATAGGTACAATGTTTGCTCTTCTCCAGTCCTCTGGGACCTCAGATGTCCTCCATGAGTTCTAATGGTTCCAAGATTGCTTCAGCTAGTTCTTTACATACCCTAGGATGAATTTCATGTCCCTGCCAACTTGAATATATCTAACTTATTTTCTTTCCCTATTTTGACTTGTGTTCTCCCTTGTTGTTAGCATTTTATTAAGTATCTGGTCACAATCAACCTTTTTATGAAGACTGAAGCAAAACAGACATTCAACATCTCAGCATTCTTGATATCATCCATTATTAGTTCTCCTTCCCCGCTAAATAGAGGACCTACATTTTCCTTCAACTTTCTCTTGATCCTAATGTATTTATAAAACCTTTTTTATTGCCTTCTATGTCCCTTGCTAAACATAACTGATTTTGTGCCTTAGCCATTCTGATTTTGTCCATACATGTGCGTGTAGTCTTTTGTACTCATCCTTAGCAATCTTTCCATGTTTTCACTTTTTATAGGATTTCTCTTTGATTTCCAGTTCATTAAAGAGTTCCCAATGGAACCATATTGGCCTCTGACTGTTTTTCCTTCATATCAGGATAGCTTGCTGTTGCGCCTTTAATATTGTCTCTCTGAAAAACTGCCAGCTCTCCTGAACTCCTTTTTCCCTTAGATTTTGTTTCCATGGGACCTTACCTACCAGTTCTCTGAGTTTGTTAAAGTCTG